CCCCCCCGCCCCTCACGATCCTCTTACCTCCAAGGCCTCCAACTCCTGGGATGGCTCCACCGGCCCCCAGGCCTCCGGCTCCCAGTCCACCAGCTCCCAGCCCACCAGCTCCGAGACCTGTGGACAGAGGGACCCATCAATTCCCCTGGCCCATAGAGTGAGGCTGAAGAAGGCTGGCTGTGATGGGCACATAGGTAACATCCTGGGTTTAGGTGGGGTCTCAGTTCCTCGGGGCCTTGGAGGGCAGCAGTGGGGCAGGGCGTTGGGAAATGTCGCGGACAGCACTGGCCAGGGAATGCCTGTTCCAGGCTGTGGTCAGCAGTCCTACCCTGCGGGCCTGCTGGGGGTCCTAGCAGGGGTCTCACGGTAGGTCAGCACTTACCATACTGGGCAGCTTTGGCGGCGGCTTTAGCAGCAGCAGCTGATACAGCAGGTCCGGCTCCTGGGGACACAGAGAAGGCTCAAGGGGGACCCTCCAGGGGTCAGTGTTCCTGTCCAGCCCATCCAGGGGCTTCAGCTCACCTGCCACTCCTCCTGGGACGCCTGCCCCTCCAAGGCCACCAAGACCAAGGCCTCCAGGCCCTCCGAGGGCCCCGACCCCTCTTGCTCCTGTGGAGAGACGATGGAGACATTAGCCTCTATTTCTGAAGGGTGGAGCGTCCCTGCCTCAGGGAGCCAGGCCAGCAGACAGCGGCAGAGGCCAGGAGACCAGAGGAAGGAGCAGGAAACCAGAAGTCCATTTCCAGACACCAGTTGGGCCAGGAAGGGCCCTCAGGCCTGGCCTTCCGCTCCGACACTATGGCTAGAGCCGCATGGATGCCAGTTTGCCACAGGCCTGGGTTTGAGGCCCGATTTCTGCACTCATTTTATCTCTCTGGACCTCACTTACTCCATCTCCCTAAGCGGGGCGATGAGGCCCGTTTCCTGCATGCATTTGCAGTAGGAGAGACCACTGAGCCTCTGCCCTTTCTCTGCAAGTCTGAACTACGAGGATGGAGAGTTGCCAGAAAGCACAGTGTTCCCAGCTCACAATCCAGGCAGCACACTCAACCCTGAACACTTTACGCTTAAGGCCATTGCAATCAGAAAGGTAGGAACTGTTGTAAGTACAGATGAGAATTGAGGCATGGTCAAGGTTAAACTACACGTTCAAGGTTATGTGTGCAGGGCTGAGCTTGGAGCAGGCAGCTTGGCCTCGGCCCACCTGCTACGGGACACCACTTGGTTTTCTTGGTGTGTGCCTAAGACTGGAGCTGACTGACCAGCCGGTGACAGATAGGGGGAGGCCAAGAGTTATCAGGGTTACCCAGAAGGTGGGGGATTTGGGTTTTCCAAGGGGGAATCTGGCCCCAAGTGCACAGACAGTGGTTCCCTGGCTTCCATGAGGCTGGGAATGCCGGGGCCACAGACAGGGCAGAAGTGGCCAAGCTGGGCTGCCAGAGGGGCTGGACTTTGCATGTTGTGGCTGCCAGCATGCCAAGTGGAGAGGCGGGCAGACCTGCCACGTCCCCGGTGCTCGCTCGTGGCGGGAGCCGACTGGGTGGGGGCCCGGGCTCCGCTGGGAGAATGAATTCCTCTGCTATCTGAAGAGTTGGCAAGGACAGAGGGTGGCCAGCCTTCTCATAGCAGCAGTGGGCCTGCACCTCCGGGTCCTGAGAAACCACGAAGGCCAGCGGGAGTCTTGGAGACCCCAGGAGCTTAGAAATGTGTCTAACACTCTGGCTGGAGGTAGCAGCAGCATTTAAGTGGGCAGGGGTCCAGCCTGCTAAGACCTCATCAACGTGTCAGACGTAGCTTGACCAGACTAACTGGCTCTGGGCCTTGGGCTGTGCCTGGGGTGGGAGAGGTTGGTGCCCAGGTGCTGCTGGGATGCAGGAAGTGTGGTCACTGCAGGGGAGAGGAAATGGGGTGCACTTACCATACTTAGCGGCTTTGGCTGCAGCCAGGGATCCAGGAACTGGGGAGAGGGAGAGGAGATTTGAGAAGCTGACCTGTGTGCCTGAAGGTTCTGCCTCCTCCAGGGAGCCCTCCCTGACTTCCTCTTACACCCCTGGAGCCTGGCTCCCCTTCCAGCAGCTCACCCTGCCTGCTCTCACATTTCACACAGATCTCCTATCTAACTGTGCCGGGCTGGTCTACTTTGGGAGTGTTTGTGAGGTGAACTTTACTTCCTTTTCCAGCCCTCCCTTTCTAGTCTCCCATTTCACCCCCTCCAGGCCTGGTGTGGCCTGGACAGGTGGGACGTGGAGCTGGGTGCAGTAACCACTAGGTGAAGAACTGGAGCTCCTAGTGGTCCCCTTGTCCACAGAGCACTGCTTGAGGGAGTGAAGCTGGCACACCCCATGGCCACACTCCCAGGGCCCTCCACTCCCCCTGCTCCGGGTACCAGGTCGTTATCCCCCCCAGTCTGGATTCCGTGGTCCTGCTCTGAGGAGGCAGAACCTTCGTGACTTGGCAGCAGGGCCTTCTCACTGGGCTGGTCTCAGGGGACCTTGTGGGGAGTGGACTGGTCATTGACACCTCCAAGTGGTGATGGGGTCAGAAGGGATGGGGTTCTAGGGGAGTACTGAGAGAAGGGTGTGTCTCCCCTCACCTGCACCAGCTCCTAACCCGGGCACACCGGCACCAACTCCTAAACCAGGCACACCAGCACCAACTCCTAACCCGGGCACACCAGCACCAAGCCCAGCTGCAGCTCCTGCAGAGAGATGGGCAGTGAGTGGTGGCAGCGGGCTGGGGACGTCTCGTCCAGCGAATTGATTGGCCCCCAGGGGAAGGAGCCGAGTAGGGTACAGAGGCCTGCTCTCCCGCTCCCCGCTGTCATCCCAGGGGACAGTCTTCTGAAAGCTCCCACTCACCACGAGTTCAGACCCTCCTGCTGGCATTGGAGGCTGCACACCAGGGACCCCACTTTCCCTTCCAGTCTGACATCCCCAGACGGATTTATCTCATGTCCCTCCAAACTCTCCTGTGCACAGATGCCCCAATGTGCCAGCATGATGTCTGAGAGCAACGAGTCGGGGTCCCTCAGACAGTGTGAGGCCCAGGATGGAGCCTAGGTTCCCTGCAGGTGAGCTCTCTCAGCCCCTCTGCTTGTCATCTCAGCTCTAGTGTGGCTGCAGACCCTGGGGATGGACTACGGGTCCTGGGCACCTCAGGGGTTGGGGGTTGAGTTATGGGTCTCAGATGCCTTGGTGGGGGGTGGGCTATGGGTCCCAGGTACCTCAGGGTTGGGGGTGGGCTGTGGGTCCCAGATGCCATGGGGGTGGGATGTGAGTCCTGGGCCTCAGGGAGTCGGGGGTGGGCTGTGGGTCCCAGATGCCTTGGGGTGTGGGGTGGGCTATGGGTCCTGGGTGCCTCAGAGAGTGGGGGGTGGGCAGTGGGTCCCAGGCACCTCAGGGGGAGAAAGCAGGGGGACACTCACGGTATTGGGCTTTGGCGGCTAACTTAGCAGCAGATTTGGCTCCAGGTGAAGGTCCCACTCCTGGGGAGAGAGAGGAGGAGGTTCAGGGCTGGTGTCCACGGAGGATCCAGGGCGCCTCAGGCCCATGCACTCACTGGTGCTCTCACCTCTCACACCACTGAGGTCAACAGCAATGCCAGGACCGACGCCGGGAACGACACCAGGACCCACTCCGGGAACCACACCAGTGCCGGGGGCCACTCCTGCAGAGAGGTAAAGAGCTGTTCACCATGTGGCCTCTGTCTTGGTGTGCCTCAGTTTCCCAAGCCCTCACACAGGGGTGCAGGTTCTCATTCACTGGGGAGAGGAGGACAGCTCTGTGATGACGGAGGCAGAAAGGACGCTCTGGACACAGGCCTGGGCTCAAATCTCAGCTCAGCCGTTCCTTAGCAGTACGACTCTGACCAAGTTACAGAAACACTTAGAACCTCCGTTCTGCAGCTATAAAACAGGAGTAACTGCATGGACGCTTGCTGCCAGGGTTACCACAGCCAGGGATGGCTCTCGCCAAAGCGGCTGTGGCACAGAGGGGTTTGAGGCCCATCTGAGGTGAGGGTCTCTGGTCCAACAGCCGTGGAGATTTCTGACTGGAACCTGCCTCCTGAAGACCCTAAGGTTATTCCTCACCCCTTAGGTGGTCAAGTGACTCAGGAGTTGTGGGCCAGCCCAGGGCCAGGCTAGGGGATAGAGAGCAGCTTCCCAGGGTGCAGGGACAGACAGGGTGGGCCACCTACCGAATTGGCCAGCTTTAGCGGCGGCTTTGGCCGCGGCGGCGGCGGCTGCAGCTGCTGGTGTCCCTGCTCCTGTGGTAATAAAGAGGGGCTTGGTCTCAGGGACCCCTCCCTACTTGGCTGCATTGCTCTTTCTCCCAGAAGCCCCTGCTTGCTCACCCCCTCCTTATGCTGGGCACTCTGGCTCTTTGGAGCCCTGTCCTGGGCTTGTCCACTCCCTTCCTTGGAGTCCAGCACTCAGACTTCGCTTGGAGTAAAGAGGACCCCAAAGCTGTGATGAGAGAGCAGTGAAGATTCTCCCCCTAAACCTACTTCCTCAGCAAACTAGGACCCCCTCAGGAGAGGTGGCTGTTCCCTCTGAACCACTGCAGAGGAAATGCCTTTCTTTCTGCCCTCTATCTCTGGACTCAGGGTTCCCATCGGTAAAATGGCTCAGCGACCTCTGTAGACCCCCGGAGAGTCTCCCATGAAACAAACCCAGACCATCTAGGAGCCAGCACCCAGCTCACCTGGCACCCCTCCAGCACCTGGGACCCCTGGGACTACACCTCCGGCCCCTGGCACCAGGCCTCCGGCTCCTCCAGCACCTGGGGGAATGAAGAATGTTCTAGTCCTGGTTCTCCCTGTGCCCACTTCCTGGAGGGTCAGGGCTGGGGGAGTGAAGAATGTTCTAGTCCTGGTTCTCTGTGCCCACCTCCTGGAGGGGCAGGGCTGGAAGTCAGGGCTGTAAGGAGGGATGGGATGCAGGGGCCCACAAACTCCGCCACTGGGCAAATGGCAGGACCCCCTCAGCAGAGCCTGGGGGAGGACGGCTGGGGGAGCTGGGAGCGGGCTGGGTGGAGGCCTGCTCTGCCCTTCTGAGCTTGGTGCTTGGGCTGCAGGGAGGAGGGAAAGGACGTCCCTGTGGCCCTGGGGACACGCAAGGCTCCAGCACTTACCATATTTAGCAGCCTTCGCTGCAGCTGCTGCCTGGGCTGCAGCTAAGAAGAAAAGCAGAAAGGACCCTCAGAGGTCTCCAGGCCTCACAAGCTGTCCCTCCCCAGGGGCGTCTGAGGCCTTCCCTCGCTCCCCCAACTCCTCCGGGGCCCTGCTCCCCAGCGTTTTAGACTGGTCTGCATCCCCTGTGTCCCACAGAGCCTCACAAGAGGGACATCCCCAGATTCACCATAGTAACCCCCATGGGACTCACGGGTAAGACCAGCTCCAGGGATCGCTCCAGCCCCAGGGCCCACCCCATAGCCGGGGAAGCCCCCAGCTCCAACTCCATATGTGGGTATGCCCCCCACGCCAACTCCGCCTCTAGCACCTGTGAAAATAACCAGGAGGGCAAGGATCTCAGGGGGGCGGTTGGGGAAGAGGACACAAGCCTCCCTGTCTGCTCCGTGGGCCCCGGGGAGACTCCCCCACACCCTCACTAAGACACCCGCTGGGCTCTCTCTTTTCTGAGAGTTTTGTTGGCTGTGGAGAGACTGTGGCCAGGTGGCCCTTGTCCCCGGCTAGACCTGGCTTCCTTGGGAGGGTTGTGGGCAGGATGAGGAGGGCCAGGCAGGAGCCCCATGACTCAGCTCCATGGCCCCGGCGGGAGACCTCGTCCCAGAGCCCACAGGACCCAATTCCCAGCCCTGCCTGCTGGGGACTTCTGAGCCACCCTGGACGGATGTCAGGGGTGCAGAAGGCTTCCGAGGGCCCTCTAGCTGTGACGTGTGAAGGCCAGGACAGGTGGGCAGCACCACTCACCATATTTGGCTGCTTTGGCGGCGGCTTTAGCGGCTGCACCTCCTGGAAATATGAAGGGGGAGGTGGCACTCAGGAGAGAATGGAGAGGAGATGCCCAAGACAGGCACCTTCGTCCCCCACCTGCCCGCCAGCACTCCTTCTGTCTTATCAACACGAAGCTGCCCATCCATCCATTTACCCATTCATATTCCTGTCTACTCATCTGTCTGCCAACTGCTCGTTCATCCGCCCCTCTGTTCATTCACTTGGCAATCCTTGGGCCTCATTCACCTACCCAGCCGTCTACCTCTTTGCCCATCTCTTCACCCATCTCTCCTTTCATTTCATCAACTATGTCTTCATCCAATCACTTCTCCAAACATCTTTCGTGTATCTGTGAACCCCCTTCTTCCTGTCACTCACCTGTTCATCCCCTCATCTCTTGTTATGTGCCATCAAGTCAACTCTGACTCATAGTGACCCTGTGAACAGTAGCTCTGAACCCTGTCCTATCCTGAGCTGACCTTCC